ACAAACAGTGCCAACAGTTTTAGTCCTGTTCTCAGCGGCGCTAATAATAGCACCGCATCTGCGCTCACACTGGAAGACAAGGAACGACTCGCCAAACAGAGCGAACAAAACGAGCGATTGAAGGCTGAGCCGGCGTTAGTGCCCAAAACCGTGAAACCCATCGATAGACCCAAACCCAAAGACCTGACGTCGACTCTAATCAATTCAAATCTAACCAATTTGTCACTCAATCCGATGCAAATGTCAGCACATGTTGTCAGGGTCTGGAAGTTAGTCGGTAAGTGATCAGTATACTTATTATCAGTCAAGTTACGGAAGGGTAACGTTTGCGTCTGGTTAAGTGAGGTTATGGGTAGGTTATGAAGGTTGCGTAAGGGCGCAACATCTCAACCACCGAGTCGTCCGAATATGACTTCATTTGATAACCTAATGATTCCGGGACTCAATAAGTCGGCTAATTCTCAATCGTCGGCTCCCATGAGAACAATGACCACGAATTCAAATACAATGAATAATTGGTCGCCGAATATGAGCTCATTTATGGGTAACACCGGTGCTATGGGTTTGAATCAAAACACTCAACCGTTCGGTGCATTTATGGACTCGAATACGAGTGCAAAACAGGCCAAACAGTTATCAAAGAGCGAACTCGAAGACTTCCTCAGCTGATCATTACATTCCGACAATGAATTCAATGCTTTTCACGCATATTATTATGACTAGATTTAATTATATAGTTAACATAATTCTTTAATTCATTAATAAAACTTTTGAATAAAATTTAATTAAAAATAAATTATATAATGTACTGACAAATGGCATATATATTATATTTATAAATGTTTAACAATTTCTGTTTTATGTTATGTGAAAATATATAATTATATTATAATATTATGTATAGACAACACATATAATAATATTTGTTTATTATTGTATAAAAGATAATTATTATAGAATACTTTGTTTATTAATCATTGTTTTTTTAGGTAAAGTTACTGTTATAATGTGTTTTAATTAAGAGTTAGGGAATCAAATACTTTGAAATGAGATGAAGATATAGTGCTCAACACATCTACAGATGATAGACAATCGACACATATAGACATACAGATGTATGTTTGTGTGATAGTAGGGTCGCGAACTGCCGAGTCGGGTACAGATAGAGACTCGGTAAGATATGGTCTGTTTATATCGGTTGTAATGCTGATCATAAGGCTGCGGTTAGTCGTTTTATTACACCCAAAGGCTGACACCCGCGCAACCGGACTCGTCCTTCTCGTTGCCGCAGTTGTTATACCCGTCGCAAACCAACTCAGACCACACGCACCGATCGTTACCGCAGTCAAAGTCGTCTCCACAGGAATCGCCTTTTTCTATAATAATCATAATAATAATGGTTTGTTTAAGTAAAATAAATAACTCTTTTGCGTCTATTATTGTTTGAATTAAAATAAACAAATACTAAGCATTTCTTATGATAATAGAGGCAAGAATTTGAGTTTTGTTGGGCGACACAAACCTTTAAATGCGGTGAACGCTATCTCAAAGCCGGCGTTATGTTGGGATCGATTAGTACTGGGTTTGAAGCGGAGGAATATATTGCTGGCTTCGCCGCGATTGGGAACGGCGACGATCTCTTTCAAGCGGTAGTCTTCGGTCTGCGGAGACCAGGCTTTCTCCGGATTGGATCCGCTTCTGAAGTAGAAGGTGTCGTTGTCGTGGAAGGAGGCCTTCTTAATGGTCGTAACGATACCCATATCTCGAGGAGCGGTGACCATAACGTGACACTCGAAGCCCTCCGTGAGTTTGAGGCCCTCATACAGGTATGCAGTGATCACTAACACCGAGTCGTTTCCGCTGCTATTTATTTGCACACTATTTATGTTGTAAAACACAAAGTTACCATACGTTATAAGGCCATATTTACGATACCTCTCTCTTTCACCATTATTATTTCTAGTGCAATTAATAGTGCCATTTAGTCAACGTAAAACATAATATTTTTCAAATAATTGATCACGTGAAAAATATTCTTACAATCAATTCTACTGGCGATTGATATGTGGGTCAAACACGTTATGAGAAATACACACAAACTTATTAAAAACATTTTTTTCAGTTCAGTAAAAACTTTTTTGTGCAATATTTGCAAAAATTATGAAAATATGCTAAAGGATTAGTTAATAACCGAGAATCCAATGCATATATCGAAATCTATATCGTATTGAAAAAGTGAGTCAAACGATACGATAACAGAATTTTACAGCACTTTTGACAAGAATTCTGCGGTTTTGAGAATTGAGATGAAAATTAGGTTAAAGTTTGTCATAAGAAATGAGTGAAAACTCTATTTCTCAAAAGCAAAGAGATTAATATAGCGTCGAGAGGGATGAGAGAGAAATACACCACTTGACTGACAGTGCAATTAAGCGCACACTTAGTATATAAATAGTAACTGTACTCACAATTTGGCAATTGTGTTTCAATGGTATGCAATATTCCGGTATAAATGCTATGGAGAGAGAAAGTGGTAATAATAAAGATCACGTTAATTATCACGGTAAATCAGTTGCATTTTGTATTATAAAAAGTTTATTAACTATTTTACACGTGAAAAATATTCTTACAATCAATTCTACTGGCGATTGATATGTGGGTCAAACACGTTATGAGAAATGCACACAAACTTATTAAAAACATTTTTTTCAGTTCAGTAAAAACTTTTTTGTGCAATATTTGCAAAAATTATGAATATATGCTAAAGGATTAGTTAATAACCAAGAATCCAATGCATATATCGAAATCTATATCGTATTGAAAAAGTGAGTCAAACGATACGATAACAGAATTTTACAGCACTTTTGACAAGAATTGTGCGGTTTTGAGAATTGAGATGAAAATTAGGTTAAAGTTTGTCATAAGAAATGAGTGAAAACTATTTCTCAAAAGCAAAGAGATTAATATAGCGTCGAGAGGGATGAGAGAGAAATACACCACTTGACTGACAGTGCAATTAAGCGCACACTTAGTATATAAATAGTAACTGTACTCACAATTTGGCAATAAGTTAGGCAAGAGTAGTGTGCGCTCGTCAGCCGTCCTTCTCCTCCTCCTCCTACTATCCACTCCATCGAAGAACTTGTTATTAGGTCTCAAACAACAACCAGTTGTCTGAATGCGTGGTTGCGTTGGCTTAAGAGCGGTGGTGGTAGTGATGATGTGAGTGGTGACCAAGTATGGGATGGCAACCATGGAGTAGTGCCAAACCGGGGCCTTTCGCACCACCAGCACCAGCACTGAGTCAAACATCTGGAGACACAAATCATATTCAAAACACACATTCAATTTATGTTACTTTTTATTTTACTGTTACTTTGATTCTCATCCCTATTACTGTAAAATCACATTATGTTTTGTTTGCCATTCTTTGCCTACAATTTATATAAATTTATAGCGAATTGTTTGAGTAAAACACAAGTTATATAAAAAGTTGTCTTAAATTAAAATTTTACTGCAATTTCATTGCGAGGAATGTTTTGTGCGTTTTTATAATTTTGTTGTCTAAAAGTATTTCTCTGTTTTCCTTAAGTCTCTCTCTCTCTCTCGACGCTATATTAATCTCTTTGCTTTTGAGAAATAGTTTTCACTCATTTCTTATGACAAACTTTAACCTAATTTTCATCTCAATTCTCAAAACCGCACAATTCTTGTCAAAAGTGCTGTAAAATTCTGTTATCGTATCGTTTGACTCACTTTTTCAATACGATATAGATTTCGATATATGCATTGGATTCTCGGTTATTAACTAATCCTTTAGCATATTTTCATAATTTTTGCAAATATTGCACAAAAAAGTTTTTACTGAACTGAAAAAAATGTTTTTAATAAGTTTGTGTGTATTTCTCATAACGTGTTTGACCCACATATCAATCGCCAGTAGAATTGATTGTAAGAATATTTTTCACGTGTAGTTAATAAACTTTTTATAATACAAAATGCAACTGATTTACCGTGATAATTAACGTGATCTTTATTATTACCACTTTCTCTCTCCATAGCATTTATACCGGAATATTGCATACCATTGAAACACAATTACAACATAAATAGTGTGCAAATAAATAGCAGCGGAAACGACTCGGTGTTAGTGATCACTGCATACCTGTATGAGGGCCTCAAACTCACGGAGGGCTTCGAGTGTCACGTTATGGTCACCGCTCCTCGAGATATGGGTATCGTTACGACCATTAAGAAGGCCTCCTTCCACGACAACGACACCTTCTACTTCAGAAGCGGATCCAATCCGGAGAAAGCCTGGTCTCCGCAGACCGAAGACTACCGCTTGAAAGAGATCGTCGCCGTTCCCAATCGCGGCGAAGCCAGCAATATATTCCTCCGCTTCAAACCCAGTACTAATCGATCCCAACATAACGCCGGCTTTGAGATAGCGTTCACCGCATTTAAAGGTTTGTGTCGCCCAACAAAACTCAAATTCTTGCCTCTATTATCATAAGAAATGCTTAGTATTTGTTTATTTTAATTCAAACAATAATAGACGCAAAAGAGTTATTTATTTTACTTAAACAAACCATTATTATTATGATTATTATAGAAAAAGGCGATTCCTGTGGAGACGACTTTGACTGCGGTAACGATCGGTGCGTGTGGTCTGAGTTGGTTTGCGACGGGTATAACAACTGCGGCAACGAGAAGGACGAGTCCGGTTGCGCGGGTGTCAGCCTTTGGGTCATTATTTTGCTGATTGGCGTCGGAATACTAGTCGTAATGTTGGCTATATTTGTCTGGTATAGAATGGCTCAGAGATAGACATGGGCTGAGCCGTCAAGCGCTGGGATGATAGTGTGTTTGTATGTACTGTATGTCTATATGTGTCGATTGTCTATCATCTGTAGATGTGTTGAGCACTATATCTTCATCTCATTTCAAAGTATTTGATTCCCTAACTCTTAATTAAAACACATTATTTGTCATTGAAATGGATTTTTTTGTTACTAATTATTTGTTTCATAAGATATTATTAATAGAAAATATGTTATTATTTGTTTATAATAATATACACAACAGATATGTATTATAATATTATATTAATATTATTTTCACATAACATAAAACAGAAAAACAATTTGTAAATATTTATATTATATATACGGTAAACAGTCATGTAATATATTAAATAAAAATTAATTTAAAATAAGTTTTCAAAATAATTACTTAATTTCTTAATACAATTGATATATTAATTTACTAGTCATAATAATATGCGTGAAAAGCATTGAATTCATTGTCGGAATGTAATGATCAGCTGAGGAAGTCTTCGAGTTCGCTCTTTGATAACTGTTTGGCCTGTTTTGCACTCGTATTCGAGTCCATAAATGCACCGAACGGTTGAGTGTTTTGATTCAAACCCATAGCACCGGTGTTACCCATAAATGAGCTCATATTCGGCGACCAATTATTCATTGTATTTGAATTCGTGGTCATTGTTCTCATGGGAGCCGACGATTGAGAATTAGCCGACTTATTGAGTCCCGGAATCATTAGGTTATCAAATGAAGTCATATTCGGACGACTCGGTGGTTGAGATGTTGCCGGGAATGCGTTGGAAGTATTGGATGGGTATTGGAGTGAATTGGTCTGCGTTTGCAATGGGAAGGCATTGAACTGACTATTATTCATATGACTAGTGAATGGCTGATTGAAGGTCTGGGACTGTTGTTGTGCTGACATNCTCTCTCTCTCTCTCTCTCTCTCTCTCTCTCAATAAATTTTAGGTAGTTTTTGTGAACAAATAATTTACTTATTATTACGTAATAAGGAGTAGTCATTAGAGGCGAGAATTGATTTATTGAAAATCAGAGGATTTATATATATTTGTAAATATTTACGAATCCTTCAATCGATTTACTCATAAAACCTTGAAATGAATTCCCAAACACTAGTGAATTAAAATCCTTTTAATAGTAATTGTAAAACACCATTGAATTAGTATTTTATGGATTCATTAATCAATTATTGTACTTTATAATAGCATTTGTCTCCTTATATGAAAATATGTCCTTAATTGAGATTTATTAAGATTAATTAAACAGAATTTAATTTATAGCAATTTGTCTATTCGTTGTATACAATGGTATTAGTTGTGCTAAAATAGTGTTTGTGTTAACTTTTAACGTAAATATTTAAAATTTATTTTATATTTAAATGAATATAATATCGATGTTTATATAATATCAAAATTATGAATACATTGCATTAATTATAACCTAACAATTATCACTTTTATGTTTAATTTCATTATAACTATAAAATTGATTAAAAAATCGTGTATAAATTTTATTTGCTACATGCCAATGATAATTTTGTCCTTGTTATAACATTTATAAATTAATATTCAGCTATTTTTATATGAATATTATTAAAATGTTATGGAAAATGCATTAAAAAGTGGTCGATGTAATCTTTAACTTATGTGCAATTAAACAAAATTACTTAAATGTTGATTAATTGAATTTTTAAATTAAATTTTTGCAAATTTGTGTTTAATTGTATTTAGCCTTCAGTTTATTAGCGGAAATAAAGGCAACCATTTGTTGTCAACTGAATTGAACTAATTTGCAAAATAGGAGACAATTGTTTTTTATATCGCATTTAAAAATAGGTTTCCATTTAAATAGTTGTCTGAATAAGTGATAAATAAAACAATTGTTTCAAAATATGTGGCAAACATTTATAACACCAGTGAATTGATAACATTATAAATGTTATAAACATTTAATATCACTGAATTGAATTGACTGATGCTGTCAAAATATTCAACATGCACATGTTATATTGTTTTAGATTCATTAATGTAACCTAACATTACATTAAATTTTACTATTTACTATTATTTTACTAATTAAATGTAAATGTAAATTGTACATTCTGTTTATACCAATATCAGTGTTTATATTAAATCACTCCAACATTAAATAAATTACTTGTCAACTATTTTTACAAATAATATTTTTATTATAAATAAATATAAATTCACGAATAGAGTTCAGTATAACACTAAATGACAGAAATATGACCAAGGTTATTATACGATTTATTAAATAATCTATTGTTTGTATACATAATCATAATAAACATATATTTTGCAAATTAGACAGACCTTTTCACGAATTGTAATTAATATGTGATTTATAATGAATTGTCATTTAATTCATATAAAAATTAATAAAACTTATAAAATGAGATAAAAATGACATTTAATTGTCTTATCATAAAAACTGATAACAAATACAATGTTTCATAAAAAATATAAAATGCATTGTTTTGCTCAACAGAGAGGTATTGTATGGACTGATTATCTGAATGCAAAAGTGATGGCAATTCTTGTGCCACAGAATCGATCGCATCTACGGATCCATTGACTGCAGAGGGAGTGACAGACAGTAGACATACAGTCCATACAAATCGATACAAAACCCATAATTACGTCACTCTATAGACGACAAGTCATGTGTTTTGGTGTTGTTTACAGTGTTTTGAATGCAATCAACGATTCATTTCATGCATTGTTTTCAGCGATATTTGCGTTCATTTCATGTGTTTTCAAAGACATTGTTTTGTTGACAATAAATGACAACTCATTCAATGAGAAGACAATTGACGCCAAAGGGATGTCAAACGCGAGCCATAATGAGTCCCAATTGATCTGCGATTCGCCGCTTTGGGTAAGTCTTCACTCGTGCTGTCAAACCATTTAATGTCTTCGCGTCTCTCAACTGATCCCAAACCACAGGACAATGACGTGTTTTGGTGGACAACAGCGCCGCGACTGACCGACTGTTTTCGACAGACAATCCTCATAACGATTGGTCCAACACTTCTCCTTCTGTTGACACCGTTTGACTTCAGATACTTTGCGTACAAACGGAGCACTCAATCGATTCCATGGCGGCCAAGAAATGTCTCCTCAGCGGTAAGACATCCCATACGAGAAACACATGTGTTCATTGATTATCTGTTTATCACAACAGGTCCTGAATCTGGTGTTAGTGTCGATCAGTTTCTGGCATTTGATCCGTTCTGTGTTGAAAGACGTGCGCTTCTGGAGCACAGTCTTCGAGCCGAGTGTCGACTTCACAGGTCTGTCGTTGGCATACATTTTGCAGATCTATTACCGCCGAAACGGTCGCCGCATATCAATAGCACTTCAGGTGTTTTGGTTGATAACAGCCATTGTGTCGACAATACGGCTCTATTTGGAGTTCAACTTAACGGATGACACGATCACAGACACCGCCGGCCATCACTTGTCTTATCTGATCGTATATTGTGTTTATATCTCGACATCAGTGGTACTCCTCTTGTTATCTAACGTATGCGATGACGCGTCCGATCGTCACATAATCACATCCAACACACATCACACCCATTACTGTCCCCTCGAGAACGAGTCAGCCCTCTCTCGGATCACATTCCTATGGGTTCTTCGCTTTTTGCGCAAAGGATTCAAACGAAGGCTTCAATTCAAAGACTTTCACCGCATCTGTCATTCAATTAAAACTAAATATGTGTCCAAATTGTATCACGAATTTGATGTCCAATACAACGGCCACCGAATCAACAGATCTCTCCGCCCGAAGTCCAGACGCCTATTGCCTGTGTTGTGGTGTCTGTGCTATAAATCAGTATTATTTTGCATTTGCCTATTAGTTGTATACATACCCGCCCTTTACGGACAGCCATATATTCTCAATAAATTAATAGACTTTTTAAGCGATCCAAACGATCTCTTATGGCACGGATGTGTCTTAGCGGTCGGTTTCGCCGTTTTGGGTGTCATATCGACCCTAATCTATGGACAAACCACTGCTCTCATGGAAAACGCTGCTCTCAGATGCAAATCGGCGCTCATTTCAGTCATTTATCGCAAAATGTTTCGCTTGAGTCCGACCTCCAGAGCTCAGTACACATCGGGAGAGATCGTCACTCTAATGGCCGTCGACTGCAACGAGATTTTTAAATTCATTGAGATATCGATGAACTTATTGATGATTCCCATCATTATGTGCATCGGTTTATACTATTTATGGCACTATTTAGGACTCGCGTCACTCGGTTTTGTGGCAGTTATGGTGTTTATGATACCGATTAACGTATTTTTTGGTCACATATTGAGCCGATTGCAGAAAAATCAGATGTCTTTTAAAGACAAACGAATGGCCAAAATAAGCGAAATCTTAAACTCGATTAAAGTGATTAAACTGAACGCATGGGAAGAGGTGTTCATTCGGGAAGTGAACCAATTGCGAGACTTGGAGCTAAGGGCGCAGCGAAAGATGGCCACCATTTACGCGCTGATTGTGTTGGTGTGGATGATGGCACCCGTGGTGTCGGCCAGCGCTTGCTTTATGGCCTTCGCATACTTGGAGTATTCAAAGTTCACAATCAAAACCATATTTGTGTCGCTCTCCATAATGAAGGTCCTGCAGATGCCGATCCAACGGCTGCCCACAGCTATCAATGGCCTCATTCGTGCCGTCGTTTCGCTCCGCAGACTCTCCCGATATTTGTCGGCCGAAGAACTCGACCGACCGATGGTTAGTAAACGTAAAAGAGATAACGCTTTTAGCGTTTGCTTTGAAAACGCGACCTTTAGGTACAGCAAAGCGGGCGCTGCCGTACTTAACGACCTGACAGTGAATATAAAAAGCGGTTCATTGGTCGGCATTATTGGCGAAGTGGGCGCCGGAAAGTCGTCCCTATTATCAGCAATCATAGGCGGTCTCCACAAGACTGGAGGCAATTTGCGAGTGAAAGGCAGTATCGCTTATGTGCCGCAAACCCCTTGGATTCGTAACACGAGTCTAAAGGATAACATTATATTCATGTCCGATGAAGACGAGAGTCGATACCAAGAAGTGATCACAGCTTGCGATCTGTCGCCAGACTTGGCCACACTTGCGTCGGGCGATCGGACAGTTGTGGGCGAAGGGGGTATCACTTTGAGCGGTGGTCAGAGACATAGGGTTAGTTTGGCGCGAGCTATATATCAAAACTGCGATATATATCTGTTGGACGACCCGTTGTCGGCAGTGGACGCACATGTCGGACAGCATCTGTTCCAAGAAGTGATTGGACCGAAAGGACTGCTTCGCCATAAGACACGTATAATGTGTTTGCATAACACGAGTTATCTGTCGATTTGCGATCAAATCATTGTTTTACGCGATGGAGAGGTCGTCGCTCACGGAAACTATAGTGAATTGTCATCTCTGGGACTCTTCTCGCAAACTAATAGTTTAGAGAATTCGGGCGAAGAATCGGATAATAAGCACTCGTTTTTAGTCAATTCCGATAATTTATATCAAACTCTTTTGCATAAGAGCTCAATGAATAGCGAATCACACGATTCGGTGCTCCAAACGGCTAGCGATGAGATAATAGTGGCGTCAATCGAGAGCACAGAACCCACGGAACCGATCGTTAGTGATAATGAAGAAGTGGTTTATTTAGGAAGCGTTCTCTGGAATGATTACTACCGATATATATCCAGCGTTGGTATTATCCTATTCGTGACAATCATATTGTTTAGGTTTGGCTCAAACGGCAGCGAAGTTGCGATCAATTATTGGTTGAGTTTGTGGTCGAATCACAACCATTCCGAAGACACCGATAGTAATGACCGAAAGTTTAATACTATTATTTACGGCTCATTACTGGTGAGCGAAGCGGTGTTTATATTATTGGGAAATGTAGTGCTATTCGTGGCGACAATACGGGCGTCGAGACGATTGCATCTGAAGGCAATGTATGGCGTAATGCGATCTCCGCTCTCGTTCTTCGACAGGACGCCAATCGGACGTCTATTGAATCGTTTCAGTCGTGACATCAGTTGTGTTGACGAATCGATACCCGATTTGCTTATATCTATCGTCGATGTGTTGGCTTTCTTCGCAATCCTTTACGGTCTCGTGTTTTACAACTTTAGATACTTATCATTAGGACTGTTGGCTATCATTGCGTTATTTTATTTAATTTATGTGAGAATTGTTTTCCTGTTTTGCTGTCACTTTATGTATAGATTATTGAAAATATGTTTTTTTTGCTATTATCAGAGATTTTATCTGAAGACATCCCGACAGTTGAGACGAATGGAAGCGATCAGTAATTCTCCCCTTCAGAGCCACTTCTGCGAGAGTATCGCCGGCGTCGACAGTATCACCGCTTATAACGTTTTGCCACAATTTATCAATGAGTCCAACAAACAAATCGATTTGACAAACAATTGCTATTATCACAGAATTTCTCTCAGTTTATGGCTAAGGAATTGGTGCCAAATCATTGGCTCTTTCATTATTACAATTATAGCCATTTATATCGTCTGCAATCGACATCACATTACCATAGGTTTGGCCGCACTATTGATCGTCTATAGTGTCGAAGCCGTGGCTAACATTGCCTACACTATCATTGTTATGGCGGATCTCGAGACGAATATGATATCTGTTGAGAGATTGAGAGAGTTTTCCGATTTGACGCCAGAGAAAGAGTGGAAGTCTGCCGACACTTACCGGCCATCGAGTGATTGGCCGCAAAACGGATGCATTCAATACATACACTATTCAACTACTTATAGAAATGGACACAAAAATGTCTTAAACGACATCACCTTTAAGATAGAATCGGGCGAAAAGGTGGCGGTTGTCGGCCGTACGGGTGCGGGCAAGTCATCGCTCGCCCTCTCACTCTTCCGTATGATTGAACCGATTTGCGGACAAATACTAATCGATGGCTTAAATGTGTCTCGAATTGGTTTACATGACTTGCGATCGAAACTTACAATCATTCCTCAGGAGTCGACCATTTTTGGGAACACTATTCGCATGAATTTGGATCCGTTGGGCGAATCCACTGATCGTCAGTTGTGGGCAATTCTGGATGACTTGAATTTGACTTCGTTTGTGAACTCATTGCCCCATAAATTGGATTCAATTGTCACCGAAAAGGGACAGAATCTAAGCGCAGGTCAGCGACAGTTGATTTGCTTCGGCAGAGCTTTACTCCGGAGCACAAGGATTGTGGTGTTAGACGAGGCGACCAGTGCTTGCGATCTGGAAACCGATGCCAACATTCAAAAGATAATTAGACAAAAATTGACTGATTGTACAGTTATTTCAATTGTCCATCGATTGGATTCAATCCTCGATTACGACAAAGTATTGGTCATGAATTGCGGATCACTTGCGGAATACGATTCGCCCGAAAGATTGCTCGCGAATACAAATTCACTTTTCTATGGTTTAGCAAAACAGGCAAATGTTGTCTAAAGTGTTGACACAAATTAACTTGTGGTCAGAGTATTACAAGTATTACATCCAAGTATTAACGCAATATTTTTATAGCTATTGTTTATTATATGAGAAACGGGTTTAAATTATTTTTATATATTTTATATAATTTTCTATTTTGTATTACCGGTAATATTAATAACGTTTTAAATTTAAATAATGTTATAACTTTTAAATTATGTTTGATATGTAATTTGTTAATAATGCATAATAAAGTGAGTAGAAAATACGCACAATATAAGTTTTCTAATTGGTGATTGACAATTACTAATTGATGCAAATTTTTGGATTATCCCATTTAGAGTCTAAATTTGAGGTCCGTGTGATAGTATCACTAAAGTATCTCAAAGTTATTAATTTATATAAACTTAATGAACTAATCATATGGAAATTGCCAATACATGTACTCTTCAGTATTGTATGCAAAACGAAAAGCAAGAAAATAACATTTAACACTATTTTACATTTTACATTCAGTCTTTCATTTTCAATTTCCGTTACATACATGTATGTTTCGATCAAATCATTTGGTGATATATTTTGATCGATTTCTAGTTATTTTGGTTAATCATTATATTTTAAATAAAGCACAACATATGATATTCAATATACAGTATTATTTATAAAATAATAGTTTATATCAATTCATACAATCTTTGAGAATAATGGGAAACGAAAAATACTATTAATACTTAACAAATGAATGTCTATTATTGAGAAAAATTCTTTTCATGTGATTCTTATTATGATATTTATTGTGATTATAAACAAAAATTTTGAATAAACTTAATGTAGAAATGCATTCAATGAAAGAAAAAGGGATATATTTTTTAAAAGATTGCATCAAATGACCAGAATTTGTATCTATTGTTATGTTTTGATTCTCTCTCTCTCTCTCTCTCTCTCTCTCTCTCTCTCTCTCTCTCTCTCTCTCACTATCTCTCCAAGAGAGAGAGAGAGAGAGAGAGAGAGAGAGAGAGAGAATCAAAACATAACAATAGATACAAATTCTGGTCATTTGATGCAATCTTTTAAAAAATATATCCCTTTTTCTTTCATTGAATGCATTTCTTATATTCATTTTTTATGCATTTCTTATTTCCCATATTTTTTCTTTTCATTCTTCAGATTCCTGTCTTATATTTTACTACAATTCCGTTGTCTGAATTTTATTCAATTTATATATATTTTTTGTTGGTCTGATTGTCAACCAATAGTATGGTATCCAATGATGAAACATATTGTCGACGACTAATGTCTTCCCTTTTTATTACAATTTTATTCTTTGTTCACTATTTCTCTGTTATATATATTTTGTACTATTTTTCCACATTTTATATCATTTGAACGAATTCTTTATCGAAAGAAATTTAATTGAAATCCATAATTGATTTTATAAATTATTGATTTATTTCACAGCCGTTCAGACATTCAATAATAGTCGGCAAAAATGATAAATAAGTATTTTTAATATTGTTTCAAAAATACAATCATAATTATAAGCAGTTTTTTGTTCACCGAAATATGGATTCATTCATATTTTTGAATTCAATTCATTTCAATCATATAAAGTAGTTTTGGTGTCAAAAAGAAAAATCCTGAATAAAGTCGGGGTTTTAGTTGAAAATTTTATGACAATACTTATCTGTATATAAAAATATAGCAAAAAATGAGTGCTTTATTGAAATTCTTGAATTGAATACAGAATGGATTGGATTGTCAGCCAATCCGACAAAATCTGGGATCAAATGAATCATAAAAACTGACGTTTTGTCTAATTATTTAAAATATGGATTCAGTAAAAGAGATGAATAGATATTTTGGTAAATTTGGTCTCATTTTAGTTCATGAAAAGCCAATTCTGTAATTAAAAATATCAATTAAGCCGACAATTGTTGATAAATTACTACTCAATGCGTTAGTAATGAAAATATATTAAAGTTTAATGTCTAGATTCTAGACTCTAGAACATTATTGATTAAAAAATTTAAACACTATAAAAATATTCTTGAAATCATTCTTGTATTAAAAATATGTAGAAAATATCAGTTTTAAATGTGAAAATATTTGAAATTAAAGTTTCCACAAAAAACTACAATAAGTTACACATAAGATGTAAAATTGTAAAGAAAACATGAAATGATAGTAACAATGGTTTGTGAATATGAATCCATTTGAATTGATATCATATAAGAGGCCCATAAGAGTTGCATCACTTGTTCATCAATTTCACTCAAATATCTGAAAATGTAAGTAAATCTATCAAAAAAGACTTCGGCACACAATAGTCCTCCCAAACCAATAGCACCAGAGCTACACTTTTATGCACATCAAAAATATACTTTATTTTTCAGTTTCCCATATAATAGTCGACACAAAAAAGAGTAATAAATTGTATGCATATTATATAATAGAGAGAGAAAACGGAGATTGCATTTGGAAATGTATTTCAAAATTAATGAACTGAAGTTTTTTTTTTGCTGCTCTCTATTGTTATGTCATATATTAGTTGAATACCAATATTGCAATCCAATACCACTTTTCGCTCTCCCTTTTCCTTTTATATTCAATTTTTTCGCTAATTCTCCATCTTTTTCGCATGAATTGTGAAGTTTTTGTGATTTTTCAGAAATTTTTTATTCATTATATGAATGAAAAACGGATGAAACCACTCCTCGTGTGCTTATTATTCATATCGCTTTAGAAATATTCAAATATTATATGTATTTAGCGATTGTTTTGTGAAATTCTTAAACCATTTGTTCAATTAATGGTTTGAATTTTTTGGGAAATGATTTCTTTTCTGTTATACAATTTCATGCAATTTATTCTTTTTAATAATTTACAAAAATAAATTTAATTTATTAGATTTTTGGCAGAAATAATAGTGCAATAAAATATTTAATGTTTGGAGAATATGAATGGCACATGATCCTTTATTTACAATTTTATTATAGGTTTTATAGTAGGAAAATATAATAATTATCATAAGTTTATGCAAAAGGATTTATTAGTTTCTGCAAAATATACAATTTTATAACTTTTAATTCAATTTAAACCAAAAATTCCGATCGAAATAAAATTTAAATAAAAAACTTTTTGCAAACAAATCTATTGTCACAAAAATATAATACAAATAAAAGTAAGGCATTTGAGTGTAAGCTGTGGTCGGGTTTTNACAATAGCTATAAAAATATTGCGTTAATACTTGGATGTAATACTTGTAATACTCTGACCACAAGTTAATTTGTGTCAACACTTTAGACAACATTTGCCTGTTTTGCTAAACCATAGAAAAGTGAATTAGTATTCGCGAGCAATCTTTCGGGCGAATCGTATTCCGCAAGTGATCCGCAATTCATGACTAATACTTTGTCGTAATCGAGGATTGAATCCAATCGATGGACAATTGAAATAACTGTACAATTAGTCAATTTTTGTCTAATTATCTTTTGAATGTTGGCATCGGTTTCCAAATCGCAAGCACTGGTCGCCTCGTCTAACACCACAATCCTTGTACTCCGGAGTAAAGCTCTGCCGAAGCAAATCAACTGTCGCTGACCCGCGCTTAGATTCTGTCCCTTTTCGGTGACAATTGAATCCAATTTATGGGGCAATGAGTCCACAAACGAAGTCAAATTCAAGTCATCCAGAATTGCCCACAACTGACGATCAGTGGATTCGCCCAATGGATCCAAATTCATGCGAATAGTGTTCCCAAAAATGGTCGACTCCTGAGGAATGATTGTAAGTTTTGATCGCAAGTCATGTAAACCAATTCGAGACACATTTAAGCCATCGATTAGTATTTGTCCGCAAATCGGTTCAATCATACGGAAGAGTGAGAGGGCGAGGGATGACTTGCCCGCACCCGTACGGCCAACAACCGCCACCTTTTCGCCCGATTCTATCTTAAAGGTGATGTCGTTTAAGACATTTTTGTGTCCATTTCTATAAGTAGTTGAATAGTGTATGTATTGAATGCATCCGTTTTGCGGCCAATCACTCG